ACTATCTGCAAAGAGTCAAGAAAAACAATTGGCAAAGTAGCTACTTCAAAATGAGTACAAAAGAAGAAGCAGCAATGAAATGAGTTTAAGAAATTACAAAAGCTACAGCCATGCACCCAAAACACACTCTTGATTCTGCACCCCTGGTTACAAAAAAAATGAAACGGAAGTCAAATTAAACAAAGTATTCACAACGGAAAAAGATATTGCCACAAATATTGCAGTTAGCAAACTACGTGGCGGGATATGAAATAAAAATCTGTTGAGATTGTGCAGGAAATCGCTCCACGAGCAGAATGCTCTGAAGAGCCGCTATTTTCGCAACAGACATCAAGCCGTTATATAAATTTGAACGTTTAAAAGTTTTGAAGCAGTTGCCGCTAATACAGCAGCAATTAGGCCCCATCGTTTGTCTTGTTTTTCATGCAGCTCCTACTCAACATGAGGCATTTTTGTAACTCGCGACAAAATGACTTGCCCTCTAATTACGTATTTATCTGAATCACTCAACAAATTAAGCGAGAGCAGATCCGCAAGTTGGAGAACTGGTACAAATGATGGGACCAGCACAAGATATATTTCCACTTATCACAACTGTCTGGTGCGTGTGTTTGAATCTTACTAATATGTGGGCATGTAAGAAAAAAAAATCCAAATTGGAAGAAGACTAGGACCTCATAATCAAGGGGATCAAAGCATACAGTAGAAGGCAAAACACTGGATATATGAGTAAAGCTTGAAAAACAAAACGAAACTCATTATCCTAATAAAAACTCGTGTTAAATTCAAAGGGGGTTACATGTGAAAATTGTAAAGCAAATCTTATGGAATTCTTTAAATTCGGTTCGAATATTTTAATAAAAAAACAACTTTTAACAACAGGTATCCCAAGCAGGAAGGAAATAAAATCTCTTTACACCAAAAACTTAAAACTTAGTGACAACTACAAAAAATATAGAGGAGCAACAGGCCGTCTGCGCCTGCAAAATGAGGTAAACGAACAACGATCAACCAAAACGACTTCACTTTTTAAAAACTACCATTACCTTACCTTCTAACTCCTTTACATCTATCATCCCATTGAACACTTCTGTTTTGAAAAGTCATTAATTAATAATTAAAATATGAGCCCGGAATGGCAGGGTTTGAACCACGTTAAGCACTCACTGTTCTCTTCAAAAGTAATATTTTGATTTCATTTAATCGTCCACTTTTCTTTATTGCACAATACTAGGAATGCAACATACTAAAAGGAATAAAATTGGATCTGGGTCCCTTCGTCATTTACGCCACAACAAATGAAATAATAATGATTTTGTCAATGAACAACGAACTAAGGTGAAGAGATCAGAAAGGTAGATGAGATAGAAGAAGTAGGATAAGTGTTATTTTCGTGTTATTTTGGCTTTGTTGGGTATGATCCTGGGGTCTTTCTTGTGTTTGTTGCAAAGTGTTCAGGAAGGAAAGTGAGATTAAAAAAAATTGGAGTTCAAATGTTTCATCAATTAGATACCCGTATTTCTTACAATAAAAGAGAAAGTGAGGCCCTTGTGAACCGAAAACCGAAATTTGGATCCAGAACTGCGCGACACGAATAGTACTAACATTGATTAGCGAATCCGCTACAACGCTCAAATTTCTTCTTATATTCCTCGATGATCACAATCAGGATTCCAACTTACCGGACTTGGCAATTTTAAACGTTTTTTTTTGTCTTCTTCTTTTCCTTGTCAGGAACAATGGCCTAAGATAAACACTTGATTAGCTGTATACGGAATGTAATATTTGGAAAGATCATGAAATTACTTACGGAACCAAGTACAATTCTCTTTTTTTCTTCTTCATCAACCTCTGTTGCCTCCCCTTCAGCTCCATTCAGCCTGTTTCTTAAAAGTTTCTGCTTCATATACTAAAAAAGTAAAAAAATAGAGAGTAATCGCAAATTGATAAACCTGTAATGAATTTTTTCTTTGATAAATTTTTTTGTAAAACCTAATAACTGATAAACCTGATAATGAACAAACCTGTTGAATTAGCACTTTCCTACACCGCTGTTTAACAGCCAGTGCCAGATCCAGCCAAGTCCAGTTTTTGTCATGGTATTCACAAAGCGGAAATAAAAACTGAAATCGATCGATATCCCCGAGGTTCTTATCCTTGTTCCCCTGAAAAGAAAAATTCTGAGAGTTAGATTCATACATTACCAACACCTTAATTGTTTAGTGGGTTACAAAACAGCTTCAACAATTTTTGTGCGGCAATATCCTGAGCAAGTGGAGCCTTAAATACACTCAGTAAAATGATTTGAAAAACTTTTACCTTGTAGGACACAATGAAAGGAACTTCTGGAATTTTGATGTAAAGAAACATATTATTTTTTTGTGCTCTTTCCTTCATACGATCAATATCATCCCGTGAGCGGGTGTTTTCTGCAACACGACGTAGAGATCCATTTACGGCGTCATGAAACCACTGTCGTACAGATGAACTCTATAAAAAGTAATATAAAATTTGAAGCAGCTCTATAAATGAGTTCTCAGAACGTTGTTTGCACATCCTTTCCCATTTTCAGAAAATGAGGATGACGCTAAAGAAAAACCTGAGCCGTTTGCTGTTCGTCTGAAACATCTAAGTTTTGTTGATCTTCTTTATCGATATTTCTGCCAGGGAAGAAATAAGCCATTATTTTTTCAAAAAAACGATATGTAATTTGAGCCACCATAGGAGAAACATTAACCTCGAAGTGTTCTTTAATACAGATACCACCGACTACAAAGCACTTTCAGTTTTGCAAAATTCTTGAACTTTTTTAAATAGAAGTTAGTAACCGTTAAGCTTTACAAACTGAGTTCTATTATCACAACTACTTGATTTTCGACAATTTTTAACGAAGTATAAATTTAGTATTCCCACCTGGAGCCATATCACGGCAAATCAGCCTAATTGACGGCTGACGTTCCGTTTTAACTTGAGATGTACGTTGCACTTGCAGTGTGTGCTGTAAAAACAGTAAATGAATTATTTTTCACATCAAGCAGTGAGGTCATACGAAGATTTCCTAGTAAAGCTTACTTTAAACACACTGTCGGGCAAAAGGTTAGTTACTTTAACTGTTCCGATTTCCAGCAAATGTTCTCCTGAATTGTCAACGCGAGCAGTTCGTGTGTATCTAAAACTCGAAGTGAAAGTACTCGACTCTAAAGCAGATGGAAGGAGAAAAAGCGCGGGTTGATTTAAATTGCAAAAAGAAAGAAGGCATTTCTAAAATGCTGATAAAACTCATACAAGAAGTTCCGAATTTGTATTTCCGCTAGAGCTATCTGACCGTCACTTTCTGTAAGCCTCCAAATACAGTCTTCGAAACAGACTTCAAACCTAAATAGAAGGTAAGCTAACACAGATTATACAAATAAGTATCACAAGATTC